TCCCCGACTTTCCAGAGCACTCGATCCCTTCAAGCTACTGGAGACCTGACCAGGGTAGTTTGTTCTCTTTGGAGTCCATGGGGGATGGGAAGGAGCTCTGGGTGCCCTCCGCCTTTCCGGGAACCCTGGGCTTAGTGAGACGTGGTTGTAAGTCAGTGTAGCACAGCCTCACAGAGCAGAGCTTAGGCTGGGTGGAGAGGGGAGCCTTGGCAGAGGGGTTTGCCCAGTGCAGCTCTCCACTGGCTGCTGCTGGGACCAGGGCAGAGGTGAGAGGGCCTAGACCTTGTGCCCGAATACTTGAGTGAGGACCCCCAGCGGTGCTGCATGGGTGTGAGTCCTGCTGCTGCGGCTGAGTCTCAGGCAGGTCCCTCAGCCCCCTGTGCCACCTCCTCACCGCCCAGTCACTGTGCGGATAAATGGAGTAAGGCGAGTGCACACAGCGTCTGGCACCCAGGAGCACTTAGTAAATGCCAGGTGCCAAGAAGGTGATGGTAGAGGCACCATCTCCTGGGAGGAATGTTCCAGACCACTGCCTTCCAGCCCTGCCCAGCTAGAGGGTTTACCTGCATTGGGATTTTGGACCCAGGAGGGTGGCTACTGAGATGGAGAGGCCAGGCTGTGTCCAAGCAGCCCCTAAGGTGTGGGGAGTATTTTTGTCACCCCGCATGCCCCTCACCAGACTCAGGACCCCCTACTTTGTTGCATGGCACTGGGGGTTCCCAACACATAGGCCTCTCTGCCCTCGGCCCACTGCCTGGAGTGCTGTCCCCACTGTCTGTAGTAGCTCCTTCTGGACCTTGGGTCTTGGCTGAAATGTCTTCTCCTTGGAGGCCCTTCTTGACACCTGGTATCCTCTATTGGCCAGTTTTCTCATTTGTCCTCTGTCCCTTCACTGGACTGAGGTCCATGAGGACCTCATCCACCCATCTCTTGCTCCCTGTTGCACCCAGCTCCAAGCCCAGACTGATCTGCTCTCTCCTCCCACCCAGGGTCCTATCAGTTCCCCACTCCAGCCTGTCCTCTCTCCTCTTCCTGGCCCGTGATGTCAGGTGGCCCCCAGGGTGCTCCCCCCTCATTCAGTGTCTAATTAACACCTCAGCAACAGCTTACCACTGTCCCCACCCTTGCCTGTCCCTGGCAGGATAGAGCGTCCTGCTCTCAGCTCCTCCCACCGTCTCCTCCACTGACCGTCCCACTGCTCCTCCCGAGGGCCTGGTGGGGCTCCCTGCCTCCTTTCTCCACAGTCCATTCTAAACCTCTTCTGTCCAATTCAGTAGCCACTAGCTGCATGTGGCTATTAAAACTAACATTTTATCTAAATTATAAGTTCCTTCAACAATAAAATAAATTGAAAGTTCCTTTATTGTTGACAATATTATAGATGTCCCTCATTTCCCCCTCCACCCAGCTCCTGCCCCACCCCACACTATTGTCTATGGCCATGGGTTATGCATATATGCATATAAATTTTTTGGTAACCTCTTCTTTTCCCCTCATGCCCCTCCCCTCTCAGATCTGTCACTCTGTTCCATGCATCCATGCCTCTGGACCTATTTTGTTCCTTAGTTTATTTTGTTCATTAGATTCCACATATAAGTGAGGTCATGTGGTACTTGTCTTTTTTGGCTGGCTTATTTTGCTTGGCATAATACTCTCCAGGCCCCTCTATGCTGTCTCAAAGGGTAAGAGACCCTTTTTCACAGCTGCGTAGTATTCCATGGTGTGAATGTCCCACAGCTTTTTTATCCACTTGTCTACTAATGGGCACTTGGGCTGTTTCCAGGTCTTAGCTATTGTAAACTGCGCTGCTATGAACATAGGGGTGCATATATTCTTTCTGATTAGCGTTTCAGGACTCTTGGGATATCTTCCTAGAAGTAGGATGGCTGGGTCTAGTGGAAGTTCCATTTTTAATTTTTTGAGGAAACTGCATGCTGTTTTTCACAGTGGCTGCACCAGTCTGCACTCCCACCAGCGGTGTACCAGGGCTCCCCTTTCTCCACACCCTCGCCAGCACATGTTTGTTGATACATTGATGGTGGATTCTGACAGGTGTGAAGTGATACCTCATTGTGGTTTTAATTTGCATCTCTCTGATGATTAGTGACGTTGAGCATTTTTTCATATGTTTATTGGCCATCTGTATGTCTTCTTTGGAGAAGTGTTAATTCAGGTCCTGTGCCTTAGTTGCCCCAGTCAATTTCTTTATTTTTTAAATTGATTTTAGAGAGGGAAAGTGATAGAGAAACTTCAACCTGTTGTTCCACTTATTGATGCATCATTGGTTAATTCTTGTATATGCCCTGACCAAGGATCAAATCTGCAACTTTTGCGTATCCAGACGATGCTCTAACCAACTGAGCTACCCGGCCAGGGCACCTCGGTCAATTTCAAGTGTTCAGTAGCTATGTGCAGCTAGTGGCTGGTGGGTTGGCCAGCATAGGCCTAGATGTTTCCACCATCAAAGATCATGTCATCGGATAGCTTTGAAAGCTAACAGATTAGTCATCTTCAGGCCCAGGACAATGCTGTTGCTCTGCTCAGAGCCTTCAGTGGCCCGTGGCTGAGGCCAACCTCACCTGCACCCTGCCCCAGCCCCTCTAAGTGGAAGCTGTGTGGGTCCAAGCCCTGGAGAGCAGTGGCTTCATACAGGTGATCAGAGAAATGCTCTACAAGTTGCTTTACTCTCTGAACCTCAGTTTCCTCATCTGTAAAATGTGAAAATAATTCCTACTTCCAAGGATGGTTGTGAGGGTCAAGTATATATAAAGCCCAGCCAACAACTGGCATATATTTAAGCATGTGATAAGTGGTGACTGTTGCATTAACATGAATAAGGCGGGGTGGGGGCAGATCTAGAGAGGGCAGCTGTGAGCCTCAGTGCTGGATGGTGGGAGCCACTGCAGGCTTCTGAGCATAACTGCCCCCTTGGCTGGTACCTGAGGATGACTAATCTGTTTAGCTAACAGTACTGTCCATTGAACATTTTGGGATGGTGGAAATGTTCTGTATCTCCACTGCCCACTGTCCTCTAGGGACCAGAAGCTGATATCCTGGGTGGGCCAATGATGGGGAAAGGGGAAGAGGCCCTAAGGAGCAAGGGCAGGTCCCAGCCTTGGGAATCAACTTTCCCAGGCCACATGTTCTCCCTCTGTGGCAGCTGGCAGGAGCTGGGAATGGGTGGAGCGATTTGGAGGAAGGAGAGGGCCAGGACGCACAGGGGCTGGTTGTGGAGCAGGGGAAGAGGTGGGGTTCACCATGGAAGGGGCTTCTGGGCTTGGGCATTGGACTGAGCATTCAGCGAGGCCAGACCCTTGTGCCCAGGCAAGTTGTGTGTTCTGGTGGCACGGGTGCCCTGTCCTCCTCCAACACTGCCTGACTAGTCCAATAACTGGTTCCCAGTGTAGCCCTGCCTCTCCCTCTGGGCCTTGGTTTCCTTATCTGTGGCTGGGACAGCTGCTTCCTCATGGTGAACAGGGTTTGCCAGGACTCTAGTCACCTGGAACAGATGGAGTCCTTGGCCAGGGCTGGCCTCATGAGCCAACTCCTTTGCTCTGGAGAGTGCCAGGGGAGTAGAATTCCTGGGGACTGGGAGTCCTGGTACAGCAGACCCTCCCTCAGCCAGGCCATTTGTGTTTGGCTTAGGATAAGACCCCCAAATCTGCAGCCCTACTGGGCCCTGGTCTATCAGCAGGTGCAGGATGCATGGGGGAGGGGTGTCTCAGTTCCCATCTGTTTCATTTCCACTAGTCCAGTGTGGCTAAGCAAATACCTTAACCACCCCAAACCTCTGTTTTTTCATCTGTAAAAGGGAGACAAAAGTATGCTCCTCCAGGATTGGCCCCCTGAATTGGCTCCTAATTTCTCTCCAGCCGTCATAGCCGCAGTGCCTGGCATACAGCAAGGTCTTGGTAAATGCCCACCAGTAGCCTGGATAATGACCTGGTTGTAGAGTGACCCCTGCGTGTAGGCTTGACCTTTGGAGCCCTGCCTGATGGATGTGAACGGGGACCAGAGGTGAAAAAATAAGCAGCGTCAGTTTCGTGCACCTTGCCAGAACTCCAGAATCTGTCGTGTTCTCAGCTACCTCCGCTGCTCATCTCTCCGTGTGGATCACGGAACCTCATGTCAGAAAGCCCCTTATTTAGACCCAGAGACGAAGGGAGTATAGAGGTCATGGTCGCTGTCTTCTGATCCCTGCGATGCTGACTTGTTCTTCTCAATCCTAAGAAAGAACCTGGAAGCAATAGCAGAAGCTCCAGGGAGGCTGATTCAGGCCAACAGGAGAATTCTAGCAGCCCAAGGGCTTGGACTGGGCAGCTCTAAAAATCGGACAAGCAGAAGCCAGATGGGCACTTGGCAGGGACACTGGCCTGGGGCAAAGGTTTGGACAATATTCTTATTTGAGGGCCCTGGGAGAAGAGTCTGAACCCTCCGTGGGGCTCTAGATTCCCCAGGTTCTGCTTGGGGTCCAGAAAGCCCAGAGAGTCACTGGGAAATGCCCCAGGAGGTGGTAGGTTCCAGTTGTTGGTAAGTAGCCCTGCAACTGGCCTAGTCCTTCAACAGAGTTGGCCAGGAACCAGGCCTGACGTGTTCAGTCAGGTCATCTGGCAGGAACCCCAAACGAAAGGAAAGAAACAGGCATTTTTAGTCCATCTACCAAGTGCCAGGCTCCATGCAGGTGTTTTAATACCTCATCTCATCCAGATCTTTCACAGGACTGCAAGGGAGAGGATGACATATTCCATCTTCATCTGAAAATGGATGCCCAGAGAGGCTAACTTTTTTAAGGACACACAACTACTAAGTTACAGCACTGGGATTCAAACCAAATCCTTCTGAGTTCCAGTAACACTGGAAGCCAGTATTTACTGAGCACCTGCTGTATGCTTAGGCCCAGTTACTAATCCTTGACATGGATTAACTAATTTTATTCTCATAATAACGCTATGAGACGGGGAGTGTTATACTTCCATTTTACTTAGAGGGGGAACTGAGGCACAGAGAGGTAGAGTAATTTCCAAAGTCGGAGACAGTGTTCAGATCTGACATTGTCACCACTGGCTTACTCTGTCTTAGGAGCTGCTGAGCATGGTAGAGTTGGCTGCAAAGATGCACCTGCCGCCTTCCTCACGGAGATGGGCAGAGCCCTTGGGTCATGTGGGGCAGAACTGAGATGGGGCAGGTGAGCACAGGGAGGTGAACTTCAGCTCAAAGTCAAGCTGCCCTTTCAAACAGATGAACTCTTGGTGAGGGGTGAAGGTCTATCTGAGGGTGCTCCCAGGCTGGGGGGTTCAGATGGGCAGATTCCTTCCCAGGAGTGGAGACTGAAGGTGGGTGGGCTGACATCCAAGATTTCCCCCTATTGACAGAGTACTCTGAGCACCTACTAGGGGTTGGGCCTGTTTGCTGCTGGACACAGACCACAGCTGCCCCTTCTCCCAGTTGAAGGAGTTGAATGCCCCAAGGCTGTCCCAGAGATGAGGACACCAGGAATCAGGGTCATGAGGCAGGCGAGGAAGGAGGCCAGAAGTTGGCCAACAGGGGAAGTGGCCATTAGGACATGAGCGGCTGAACCACAGAGGAGGCCGCCTTAGGGTACCCCCCCCCCCCCC